GTTGTAAACCAACCAATGGCCGAGTGGGTAAAGCATTACCGCTAAACAGATGCCACTCACATCTCTGGACGTCAGACCGTGTGCTATTTGTTTCTGTCGAGGTATGTAAAAAGCACGGTTTATTATTTCATTACTCACTGTCTTTGGAAGAGCGCAGGAATTGAAGTAACACTGCCATTGTGACCATCCGGAAAGACATTCTTATTATGCGTGGTTCGAACTGGATGGCTACTTGGATATGTCACGTTGTCGAAGGAAAACACAGAACGTCCGTAGTTCTTTAACCAAAACTTGAAGAGTTGTAGTTCAAAAGTATCACTGATTGTTTAATTTGAAATATTGTCAGAAATATTGCTCGAAATCCAATAATTAATTTTGTTTTTCTGTTTATTCGTTTATTGCAACGCGACATACGCGCTATCTGTAGATGTAATCTACAGGTAGTACGCTTCCTGAAGGATTTTATGGAAACTGGCCTCAACTTAGGAGTTACTAATGTAAGGAAAACTCGGTAAAATATACTTGGCCGATAGTTCGCGAGGCGAATTCACGAGCAAACTGCCAGTGTTCAGTTGTTTTATCCATTGGAACAATGGTGGACTCAATATTCATTTTTTATTACCCTGCATAAAAATGAATTGGTAGACATTGGATAGATAGGAATACGGTAATTATCTCAAATGTTGTAACTGTTATCTACAAATAGATAAAAATGATTTTAATTCTTTCGAAAAATCTCCAATAATTAAGGTATTTATTACAATAATTCTTTTGTAAAGTAATATAATCTCTGGTATCTAAAAATTTCGAGATTTCAAATAAACCCGGAAACACTTACGTTTTAATAATAGTCCCTCAATGAGTAAACAAGGAAATACTGGATTTTATTATTATAAACTGATTAAGATATTATAATTTTTTCTTTAAAAGATAAACGACTTTATGAAGAGATTTGGAAAAATTCTCCTTGGCATATCGATTGGCGGATTCTTCTACATAAAACGGAATTTTCCGATAAGAGTAAATTATCATGATTTTCTAATCGTAGTAATATACAGTACGTCAAGTGTAAACGATACTAACAAAATGTTATTGTTTTCAGGTAATCAGTGCTCTTTATTCGATTTTTTCTTCGTGTATTGAAGAGAGCGAAATTATGAAGAAAGAAAAAAATTGCACGGTCAAACATGGAAAAAATATATTTCGTTTTCGCAGTTAATGAAACTAAGTCGCATTTCGAAGAAATTTAAGCAATTGTTATCCAGAAAAGAAATAATGACTAATTTTTTCGGACTGTAAGGAAGTGTTACGAACAAATTTTATGGAGCATAAAATACCGTTAGTTTACAGGTGTACCGTGAAACTTGTCACATAGTCACAATGCCTTTTTGCCAAAATGCTCTCAAGTTCAGTAGTGTGTTGCTCCTATACATCATGCATTTCCTGTTAACAATGAAGTCATGCAGGTCATCTATTTAATCGCTTTCAATAATATGAACCATTTTAGGATACATTTATTTCTTTCTGCTTGGACATCGTTCTCTGCGAAATGTTCGCCTTTTGCTTTTCTGCTTAGATCTTTTTCTTTGTTTATTTTTTCTCTTGCTTCTGCTTCTTTCGATCCTTCTTCTCTTTGATCACCCCGTTCTTCTAGAACTGCTTCGTTTTAAGTTACTCGAAGAGGAATAGATTGCCTTTCCACTCTTTTCGGATAATTTTCGTCATTGGCAAACACATTCAACTTCATGAGGATCCGCGTCTATTGCAAAAGATCTGTGACTTCGTTCTCTACTTCTATTACTTGAAGAATCGCTCGATACGATCTTCTTCGGAATTCATGAAGTAGAATAACGGAATTCGAATGTCTCGATCGACATCTATAACGAAGCGTTGTGTTAATGTAAAATTTAAAATTGGAATTTAAACGCATTTAATTACTTGTGCAATTTGAATATTTAAAAATTATGAATTTATTAAAACAAATTATATATTTAGTACTGCAAATATTGTAAAATAAACTATTATAATTTATTTATTTAGTATTGAATACAGGTTAAAAATATTAAATATTTAATTTTCTTTCATTTAAACTGTCCTTACTCTTTACTTATGCCGTGTATTACGTAACAAACGTAGATATTTAAATAAAGAAGCACAACGTTTTTTACAAGAAGAGAGATTATGCCAATTATTAAGGATTTCCACGTAAATAATAGAAAATAGTGACATTGAAAAATTAACAATTGATGAGATTTAATGAGAAACGAATAAAATCCAAACGTGTGAGGCGACGGCTTATATCAGTGTTGATATTAAAACACTTTGGACGTAAACCCCAATCCAATTGGAATTAGAATCTGTCACCATATGAAAGATATTAATTATTTTTGTTTCGAAGATAAAAATCATCGACAAATATGCCGCACATTTAATATTCTGTATATTTTACAATTATTGATGATATAAGCAATATTTCTTGATTTATATGGAATTAATGCACTTTTTAGACTGCAATTTGTAAAAATTGTACACCTATAAATTCCACTGCCGTTTGTTCTTCCTTAATCTTCTAGAGAAAAAAGATAGAGATACATGAAACTGCAAACAGGGTTGAAAAGCATAATGACAGAAGGTCCCAATTAACTTATATGAACTTGCAGTTTATAACGTAAGTCACGTTATTTCCATTGAAACAATTTTTTTCTAAACGGATCTAGATAGATGACCGCACGAATCAATTGTTAGCAAGAAAATAATGATCTACACAATCATAACAAAACAAAAAACAACACCAAAATGTTAAATTAACTGAATTATAAATAGATGAGTAAAAGCTAAAGCCCGGCATTATAACGTTGTCAGAATTACTAACGTCCCGACACCGCCGATACCGATATCGGTATCGATACTTCTCCTCCGGTATTGGTTGTAATATCGTTACAGTTTTCACAGAAAGGTAAGGTTCGGCGAAATTGGATTTTGTAGCAAAACCAAATGGAAACGAAATGGAATTTTTCCTGGAATGGAATACTTTCGGTTAAGATAAACTTATATAAAAATACGAGCAATTATTTATTATGACATGTTTTTATTTAAAAGATTAACGATATTATAACGAGATTTGGAAAGATTCCTCTCGGCATATCCATTGGCGGATTCTTCTATATAAAGCGGGATTTCCCGATAAGAGTAAATTGTCACTTTTTAAAATTTAAAATCGTTAATGAAGTACGCTCACCCTCTACAGCCACGAATAACGACAAGATTCAAATGTTTTAAACATAGAAATAAATGCGTTAATGCCAGAGACGTAAAATAAATTTGAAACGAGTAAAAACACGTTGTAATAATTACAACACTATCGGACAATTGTCAATCTTCAATGTTAAATAGTTCTAGTATTAATTTTTTGGAGATATTAATTTAAATTATAATAGTAATTTAGGATTTAAATATTAAAAAATTCAATAAATATGTTCTAAATTCCATTTTGAATTTGAACTTTTGTCATTCAATCCTACTGATGTTTTGAACTAACATTAAGCAGTCAAACATGAACAGTAACAAAAAAGCTTTATTAGAAAGGTCAGAACTGTGACCGACATCCTCGGACAACACCCGGACAAAACCAACGAACTTTCGCGCCTTTTCTTTCCGACGTTACCAGCCACTCTTCTTAGCAAGTGTTGCCAGACAGTGTTCGTGATCTCTGGCGCTGGCGGCCACAAACTAAACAAACGTTCGATATTACGTTGTTTCCGATCCGAACACAATTTCACACTTTTCCTCTTTCGTTAATGACTGTGAAAACAGACATTAATGAAATTTGTCAAGCAATTTGGCACGTGTTAACAAAAGATTACGTAATGTTTCCAAGCAGAAAAGAATTTGCCAATCTTGCGAAGAAATTTTAAAATAAAATAGAACTTCTCTCATTGTGTTGCATCAACGCCATGAAAGAAGTTCTATTTTATGAATGAAAAACTTGTGAGATTTTAGTTATAAAATTTCCACCACGCGAATCGCTTTCACATATTATCGATGGACTGGCAGCGTACAGTTTTACAAATTTTTTTCACGAATATAACGCATAAGTAAGGACCACATTGCGTCTAAATGATGTTCTCGAGAAACATTTCCCTAGGTAAATCGCTCACGTCTTTCTTTGTAATTACCTATAAAAAAACAAAAACATAAAAAAATTCAAGAATAAAATTACTTCTAAGCACAATTTGTAATTAGCATGACGTAAGCACGTTTCTAATTGCTGTGTAAACAATAGATAGTAATAATAGATTTTCGGCAATTGTCGAAGCGCTTTTTGTTCGGTGCTATCGAATGCAATTTTCGTTTTTGAAAGTAAGTAAGTTAAAGTAAATTTTTATTGTATAATTATATTAACTGCTTTCTAACGTGTCGAAAATGAATATAAAAACATAAAATTAAGAGTAATTTTCGATCAGATGTTTAAAAATCCCAATAGAATGTGGTGAACGGCGAACGTATTCTAAGTGACATTCACGACATTTAACTTTGCATTCATTTTCTTCTTAAGACAATTATATCATTTAACGTATTTTCTTCAAATAAATAACAATTTATTATTTTATTTTCTGATCTTATCCAATATCTCAATATTGAATTCGATTAATAAACATTTTATCATTTACTTCACCGCGAATAACTCTTCAGTAAGCAATATTGCATATTAATTATTGATTTTACGGATTGTAACAATGTACACTTCCCACACAATTAATAATATTAAATCACAATGTAATATTTATGACAAAAATAAATTGACTTTTGCTAAATTTTTGTTTTATTTTTGTGGATTTTCAATGGAATAAATTTCCAAAATATGTTTCAACAATAAGAATTTCATCTGTTTATTTAGTGTAAACTGTTTGTCATATCCTTTGTTTTTCTCTTTCAAATTCTTATGTAATTATTGAATTCACGCGAAAAACTTATACGAATTAATGTGTTTATTGCGTTTACTTTTATTGTCTAGTTTATAATTTTCAAATGGACGTACGAAATACAATTGAATATTCCACGTGTGAGAACGATGATAGTGCGGAAGATAGTTTTAAAAATATAGTTTATGCAATTCTGCGACTGACGTCTGATATTAATGCAGATTTTCCGGAAGAAACAGAAATGTCGTCTTCTGTAAGTTACAATTCAATGCAAATAATTAAAAATAATTTAATAATTCTCATCATCTACAAGTTTAAAACTAAAAACACAACACGAGAAATGCACAATGTTATAGAAAGTGTTGTTTGTAATGGCTGCAAATTCTTTATTATTTAATAAATGATGTTTTTTCCGAGTAATAAAAGAACATTTCGACTACTGTAAGATTATTCTATTAGGAATGAAAACTTTTTTACTTTTTACAGAATTCCGATGAAGAAGAGGAGGGTGATTTCTGGTTTCTGGAAACTACTAGTTGTGAAAACAGACCTTTAAAGAAAGAGTTTTTATTTTTAGAGAAGCATTCATTGGTCAAAAAAATAATATATGAGGAGAACGAAGACGATGACGTCAGTATTAAATTGGATGAAGGTGAGGTTACAAACAGATTATAAAGAATTATAAAATAATTTGTTAAAAATTATTAAGAAATCTTTTAATGTTAAACTCATTCTGTTTAAATCTATTTAAATTATAAAACTTAATATTAGTTATCCATTTAAAGTCTTTTACTTGTGTTTTATGTCGTACTTTATTATATTCGAAACAATTCAAAAACAGGTCATTCATTTCTACAAAGATTCCATTTATTTCGTCAAAAACACTTTTAATAATGATTTTTGTTATTGTTTAAATAACAATTTCAACCACATTATATAAATATTCAGCATTTGACATGATTAATTAAGAGTAAACCAACAAATAAAATAATTGCTACAAACACAACCTTAACATTGACGAAATGCTTCATTGTCTTGGCCAATTCTCGTAACAAATAAAATTGAAAATTAATTTATCACCCTTCATAGTATATGTCGAGAAATTTCCAATAATTTTAATACAATTGAATGAATTTTATTTTTCTGCCCGTTATAATATTTGAATTGGGTCACATTTGACCTTTGGACTTTTTTGGAATGGTTGTGACACCTCCGTACAGAAAAAGTAAAAAACGATATATGTGTGTGTGTGTGTGTGTGTATTCACGTCTATTTTGTTTAATATCTCTGGATAGGTGAACATTACAAACCGACATGTGCAAGGTAACTTGTTTAATACGGGGCATCGTGGACATTCAATTTTGATGGCTGAAAATAAAAAATACAAGTGGGTCACCCATCACGTCTCAAAAATAGTCGGTGTATATAAAAATTTTACACACTTTTAGCGCTTACAATTTTCTATACAACTCGTCCCTATTTTCAAACTTCCATTCATTCTTTGAGTGTGTGACGTAAACAGACAATTATAATTACCGACATCAGGTGTAATTAATAAAAGTCGTAGTCTACGCCTGTATCCAAATACACTTAAGAAAACAGACAATTCGTAAAAAATACGCAGAGATTTGTATTAATATTGAGTATATTATATTTTTGATCCTTTGATGTATTATCGATGTAAGAAATCGATGTATAATAAATGCGTTTGAATAGTTGTAGGCATTACGATGTAAAATTACATAAAGGTAAATTCTGAAATGATTTTTGTAGATAAGAATAGAAACAAAGAGATGACAGGAAAAAAGAAACAGTCGAAAGAATTAATTCAACAGGATAAGAGAAGAAATAATGATGATAGATTTTCATACAACAGAGAATCGGAGGATGTTAAAGTAAGAAAATATTTTCTAACTTTGCCTAATTTACATTTATGAATTCATTCTCGTTTCTGGCTAAATTTCAATTTCAATATTATTTTGATATTTCAAGAGTCGTTTTCTCTCTCGCATTCACAATGATTCTATACATTCGGGTTATAAAGTTTATGAGTATTAAAGAATTTTGTGTTACACTTCAGCATTTGTGCTTGTCGTTGATAAAATCCGTTTAGTTTGATTAAAATCCTTTTTTAAATATCCAACATATCAATTTACTTTTCATATTTTTTCATTTTTATAAAATTAACACATGTGGGGGCCGAGGAGGGGGAGAAATTAAAAAATCTCGATCGACGATAATATTTGATATGTATCGTCATCGTCTCCCTTGCCGTTTGGATTGCCGAGCGGTAACAATCAACGACATGTGGAAGCAGTTGAGTCAGAGATAGATGCTTCGTCTACAAACAACACAACTGTTTATTAAACACGAAAGAAGCTTACAAGATTTCCGCGATCTTGGAAGTTCTGTGGCGGCTGCTGCCTTTGGGTCTTTTTCTCCTTTCCAAGATAGTCCCATTTTGAAGGAGTGTCCCTGGTTCGCGAATGAAGCATTCCATCACGTCTCGACGACTCCTGGACGATGCGGTCGACTTCCGTTGATGGAAAGCTGTCGATCCGAAGTCGGGAGATGGAGACGAGGATGGGTGCGAGACACACACACAACAACAGATCCGTCACTTGGAACTTTCGGGAGAAGAAGCCGTCGCGTCCTCGAATTTCCGGGGTTTTATCCGTTTTCTCTCAAATTCCCCTTTCCGATTGATCTCCCGTCGTCACCTGATGACAATTCGAAACCTTTCGGGTCGCGGGAGAGGTCAAAATCGAAGTTTAATTCGATCTCCAACCGGAAATGATCGACAGACTTACATTCTTCTATTGTTTAGAAGTTAGCGTCGCGTTTTCATATCATAAAGATCTATTTCTAACTAACATATTTTTTCTCTAAAACAATTATTTTCCGCGAATTGTAGTGAGGGTTCGGACCTGTCCAGAGCCTCACACACAAGACAACTCGTGTCTTCTTAATAGGAAATTTTCAATTCATTGAAGACATTTAAACATACCATACTTTATTGATTTTGAGTATTTATTGTAATCATACTGGCATCACTTTCGTAATATTATTTTTAAACAAACATTGTAATTTGAATCTGCGGATAATTTAATCTTCAAATTTTATTTACGAAACATTTTTATTATTTGCAGGAAACGAGGAAATGTTTCGATGCTTTTGTGGAATTTTTCCGCAAATTTCCATCTATCATCTGCTCTTGTTTCAAAAGAAAAAAGTAAAATGGCGGAATGTAGATCGTCGTCTATATTTTAATAGTTACATTCCGTTCAGCTCAAAAAAAATTATTATATTTTATTTAATATTATTAGAAAAATTTATCGTTCGTACAATAATAAGAAGGCACATTACAAAATTCACTTGGTCCAAATATCTGGTGTGCAACTTTCATCGGCAGGCGCCGTGGTATTATCTGCTCTAACTTTACATTATTTATTTAAGCGGAGCGTTAGGTAACCTTTTTCTACGAAGCTTACAGAATTGTGTTCGTTCTTAAAATCCGTTCGATAAATTTTCATTAAACTTTGCCATTTTCCATTAATTTGGATTAAGAATCCGGATATGAAATGCATTAAGTCAAACGTTACNCTAATTAAAATAAAAACCAACAGAATTAATTGAAAACGATGAAAAATGGTTAATGTCACGACAATAAAAATTTTCTACAAACAAAAAAAATGAAAATCAACAATAACAGTGGATGTGTATTTTCGTGGAGACATAATTAATATACTTGTCTCTGCAAGGAAAAAAAGCGGAGGTTATCAAAAGGAAATGTCAAGGTGTCCCTTCGTGGAGGCATAATCACCGTACTTGTCTCTGCAAGGGAAGAGAGCGAAAGACATAAGAAAGAATTGTAAAGGTATTTCTTCGTAGAGACATAATCACCGTACTTGTCTCTGCAAGGGAAGAAACCAAGAAAATGGCAATTGGAATAGTAAAACAGGAATTTGTTTTCCTTCGATAATATTTGATTAAGTATCGAAATGATGAATCGTGACATGAAAAATGCTGTTTTTCGTGAAGATAAAAGCTTTATTTTAATGAAATGGTCAACTCGTCAGCAAAATTTTTTTTAAAATGTAAAAAAAGAGTTACTTCCATTTGATCTAAAAGAATGGAATTCGTGTTTAAATCTGAGAAATAGAATTGCAATGCACACCGTTTAACATTTGTTTAAGTATTGTTTCTATGAAAGTGTTGTATCTTAGGTTTGTTATTATTATTTTTAAAATTTATGAGCTTGATTGCAACTAAAAGTCGTAATTTTTGTGTTGCTTTTTTCAAACAATAAATTAATGTGCCTTTTAAGTGTATGCTGTTAAATTTATTATAAAATATATCTGAAAAATTTTATATAAAATCACTATAAACAAAAAATGATGGACACTTTTTTGTATACAAATATAATAATAATTTCAGTTGAAAATTGTTTAATGAAATTCTAATATATTTTACGTATAATAGTTCAAACATACATTAAACACATACAATATTATGTATACATTAGTTTGCACTAAGAAATAAGAATTAAATTTGTATAATTAATACAATCAATGTATTTATTATAGAAAAACCTATCATTGATTAATCGATAAAGAAGTTTTAAAACGATTTACAGAAATTTACAAACATTTTGTGGAAACCAGGTGTTGTGTAGCTTATGGCTACACAGTTAAGATATCACCATACACGAGCGTGCACGTTCACATTTGACAAATTGGGCGAAAAAAGCAATACTCTGGCAGAGTTTTTGCATACACGTAACGTAGACAACATCGTTGACATATCCATAGGGAAACGCCAGCCATAGATTGTGTAGCGATTTGGGAAATCTTTACTAATATGTGTGAGGAAATTCCCTGGTGATAGAATTTTTCTGTACTTGCGCCAGTTCGTTATGAGCCTTTCTCTAGGGTGGTGGCCGTTTTGCAACTTTAGCTCTTATTAACGAAAGAAAAATGTACGAAAATACGCAATTCCTCATGTTATTTTATAGATTTTTTAAAACTTGTTTTTGCCTTATGAGCAGTAAGAGAGCCTCTTTTAGCAGGCCCGTTATTGGTTCGGCCAGGCCCACAATGCGGCGAACGGCTGGTGACGGACGGCACCCGACATATTCGAACGGACAAACCCTCGAAAAATTCGTAGAATTTTCTCGACTCGTCCGGATTCGATCCCGAATCCACCTTGACCACTCGGCCATTCGATTGTCAGTTTACAGAGTTATCTATTTGTGGATGGTTCACAAATTTTTCTCTAATATGTAGTTTGTTTGTATTAATTACGTAATTTTCTTCCGTTTATTTATAATCATGCATTTATACTGAAGAAATATCGTTCGTCCTTTCGAATCCAAAGTACCCACGTTTTTTTATTACTTTGCAAATAATTTGAAAAGTCGTATTGCAATTTTAAGTAAATTCTATTTAGATTAATAATATTCGTATCTAATTTTTTAAACTATTTTTCTTATTTTTTAATTGTATTTTAAATAATATAAAGCTACCCAAAAAAAATTAAAATATAGAATCATCAGAAACAGTTCTTCTGCTTTCCAAATTTCTGCTATAAAACACTTTCACTTGTCAGCATTCTTAATAGAGACTTTAAAGTTTTAATTATTCGAACTGACGATATGTGTTAATGTCATTCAGAAACACGTACTTCAGATAATTTCGAAGGCAGTGGTGTGACAGTATTTAGGCTTGCAGGTTATGAGTCTGACAACATTTCAAATAGAAAAACGATGCAGATTAAAACGATTAATTTTACAAAGATTTTTTTTTCTAAATTATTGCCATTACGTCATTACGAAATTCCCAAACTTTCACGTTTTTGAACTGCCTAAGTTTACAGCTATGCGAGAAGAAAACGCTAGAAAACGTGCGCTAGTACACCGAATGACGTCAAAGACCTAACCCTTTATTCGCGGTTTTCCCTTTGTTGACACAGTGATACGAGCGTACGCTCGCTGCTGACAGAACACAACAGACAGTGTAGTCACGCTAGCAAGAGAGAGCGAGTAACACGCGCAATGTTATTTTACAGCCAAGAACTGAACTACAGGCATTCCAGTTTTAAATCAGTTATGTAAACTTGTGTTTCAACAAACCTAATATTCGCAAAATACTCGCAAATATTTTTATAAATTTATTTTTTAATCATAATTTTACAATTTCCATGAAATCCGGACGAATTAATAATTAATCCGAACAATGAATTTAAAATCTGGTCTGGTGTCAACTATCGTCGCTAATGTCCAATGACGCAGCACGTTTACTCGAGCCAACGTTGTATAGATTGCGCATGTTTCGTGCCCCGTAGTTTACCTAGCAAAAATGGCTCGTAGTCTCGGTGGGAAAGAGGGCGAGCTTTGGAGCGCATCTAAGCGTATGTCANTATTTTTAGCCATGATGCTGTGAAATTAGCACATCGCAAGAACAATTGTAAGAAGAATGATTTTAATTAAAACAGCACTTGTACAGTTTTTATTTACCTTTTATTCTTAAAATATTCAATGGAAATTAGATAAAAGTTCGATTATGTTGTTTATCTAATTTTGACTCATTGAACACTAAGTAAAAAATAATAAATACGCCTTTAAGTTTTTAAATAAAATCAATATTACTGCCTATCAGTAGCCAAGCGTTTATATTCCCTTAACACTGGGACTTAGCTTGCGGGTTTGCATTTTGTTGTTTCATAGAAATATTTCTATGGGCAATGAATGACCTTACTTTAATTAAAATGCCTCAATGACCTTTTCTTATTAAATTATAAATTTTCGTCCATAAACAAGCATTCAATATTATCAGGACTTATTATACTAGCTTGACAGACAATACAGAGTTTCACAGAAAACAATTTCTATTTAATATTTAATATACCTAGACACATACATAATTTTGCGTTTCGAACACATTTGTCCCTCCTCTGCAGGTATTTTTGTGTTCTATTCTGTAAACAATAAAAAAATCTTTTTAAAATTACATTTAAAATTACCGACAACTTATTTACAAAATAAAATTCCTACAATTTTTAGATTTTCTTTTACATTTAACTCAACCGGATATTCAATTATAATTAGTAAAGACAGTATTACTATGAAGTTGTAATGTTAAAATAATAATTTGTTTAAAACAGGTTTAACATTTTTTATAATTTATTTAATACTTTATACATTTATTTCACAACTTACATCTGTTCTTGTTGCATTTGGCTAACACTTCGTTTCCACTTCTTCTTCTTCTTTATTTCTCCCACCAGGTTCATATGGAGTGTGCCTTCGTTTCCACTTTTTCCCAATGTTCTTTTTATCTTCTTCACACACCCCTTTTTCTAAGATTCTTCGCCATGATTGGTGCATTTCTCTACCAGTATTGCTATTTATCGTATTATTTTGTTTAATTATATTAATACGTTCATAAAGTTGTTTTTTGTAATTATTCTTTTCTTTTTCTCCTATTTTTACAGAATTTAATACTATTTCACAACCTGTATTATTACAATGCTCCGCTACTACTGAATTTGCATAATTTCCCTCGATTGCTCGGATGTGTTCCTTTATCATTATTTTTAGTTTTCTTTTCGTTTATCCTATATATATTTTTTTCTGGTTTACAATTACAATTAAAGGAGTACACCACTCCTTTTTTTTAATATGTCATATTTTCCTTCATTTCTATAACATGAATTGTTTTTTGTTGTATTTACTTTTTCTGGTATTAAATTAATTCTACTGTTTAATATTTTCTTAATTCTTTCAAACATCTTAGGGATATACCTTACTTTAACAAAACTTTTCGCTTTATCTATTAATCTTATTTGTTTATCATTTTCCAGATTTTTTTAACCATTTATTCAGTAGACTTTTTGGATAATCATTTAATATAAACATTTTTATTGTTTCTTCTTCTTCTTTCTCCTGTGTTTTAATTTCAAAGATCGTTGTCTTATTTTATTTATATACATCCTAAATATATTATATTTCATACTTTTTGGTGTAATAGATTTATAATTAATTGTTTTTGGTATTTGTATAGGTTTCACATATTTTTTATAAATTAATTTATTATTTTTTTTTCTATTGTTATATTTAGATAATTAATACTATTTTGTTTCTCTATTTCTATTTCAAATTTAATATTTTCTTTTATCTCATTAGCTTTTTTTATAATTATTTGTTCATTTGTTTTTCTTGTATCATATATTATAATACAGTCATCTATATACCTGTTATAATATTCTATGTCTTGTATATTTTTAATTTTTTCATCTACAGTATACCTATAAATTTCCACTGTCGTTCATGTATATCTCTGTTTAACTTTGTTTTTTTAATCTCAAGACTGGAATTAGAGAGGAGAATGATGAAACCAGAAATGTAAAGTGTAAGGGCTAACTAACT